GCGGCTCCCCTCCCTTCCCTGGCCGTCTGGGCCTGCCACCACCGCGGCGGCGGCGGCGGCGAGGCTCCATGGGCCGCCCCGGGCCTCCGGGCCTAGGCGGCAAAGGGAGCGGGGCGTCTCAGGCCGGCCCGGGAGTGCCTCAGGCGGAGCGGGCTGGCAGCGAAACTGCGGCTGGGTCTGCTGGGAGTGCAGTTGTGCTTCGATGAGGGGCTTCTATGAGGGCTGTAAAGCTCTTTATAACAGACATTTATGGCTGCTGCGGCGGTGTCCCCAGGGAGGGTCCCTGGCACGTCCCCTGAGTTGCCCCCCTCAGACGATGCTCTCCAGCCGCCCTGTGAGATGGCTCCTGCCGTGAGCGAACCGAAACGGGTGCCGGAGGGCAGCAAGGGGGTTTAAGACCTGAGTCATACTTTTTATGAATTGATATATTGGTATTTTTTAACTTATATTTTAGAATTGGGCTACTTAACACGTAAAAGTACAGCTAAATCACCTTGGAACTGCATACCTTCGGTTAGTGGTATGAGACTGTAGCGCCAATTTTTTGTCCAACTTTATAAATAGCACACTTCACGAACTGCAGAAGTGCTTGATAGCTTCCACTAGGGGGAAACAGTAAGTTTTACTTTTAACAAAGTACATAAGTCATCCAATATTTTGCGTTGTGTAGTTATAAAAATGCTGTCTTTCGCTATATTGCTGCTCTAGCTTTCTCCATCTCTCCACCTGCCTGGGAAAAGCTTACGCCTCAGTGGGCGTTGCAGAATCACAGATTCTTCATGGTTGGAAGGGACCTTTGAGATCATTGTGTCCAACCATACACACACACACACAAAAAACCCAACCCAACAATGTCAGGCACTAGAGCAGGCTCACACCGTATTCTGGGTTTTGTTAGCTTGAATATTTTAAAGGAATAATTGACTAAAGACATCTTCAACTTTTCAAGTCATATAGTCTTCATTCTGTTAGTGTCTGTGTCCCACCGAAACAGTTAAAAAAAAAAAAAAACCACCAGAAAAAAGTGCTATTTACTGGGGTACTTCAGGTACTCTAAAGCTGCCTACTTATATTAACGGGTGTTTTTGCTGTTGCCTGTGTTATGTCTTATGAAAGAGTTGCCAAACAGATTAAATACAACAAAAAAGTAAAACCTAAAAGGCAAAATTGAATTTACTTCCAGAAATGGTTTTATTTCTAGAGGAAATTGTTAATGTTTTCATTGGATATGTATTGTCATTTATTCCTGCATAGTCCATAGCCAGACCCAATTTTTCATCTAAGGAACAGCTGTTTTAACAATACCAAAAGTAATATGATAGTTAACCATATCAGATCTGAGAGTGGAGGAGATGGTGCTTCATGTTTTAAGTGAAATACAGGACTTTCCATATTGTCAGTTTTGGGACTGAAGAATGGCTGTGCATTGATGAGTTCCCTCCTTCAGATCCTTTTTTTGCTTGGTTCTGCCCTTACTTCTCTGTTTCAATATCCAGCTATGATTTTGTGTTGCTTTCTTAGTTGCTTTCTTCACAACTAGTCAAGTGGGCAGGTGGGTCTGCCCTCAACAGTGGAGGAGTTGTCATCCAGCTCTCAAGATTTATCTTGTAAAAAACAAAAACAAAACATACACACACAAAAAAAACGAAAACCCGAACAAAAAATTCAACAGAAAGCAAACCAAAACAAAACCCCCAAATAGTTGTGTGCTGTCTCACTTATAAAGGAAGTGGTATCTTTTTTCCTTCCTGTGCTTCTGGCACTGCTGCAGCTTACTTTAGCTGTATCTGTTTTGAAAGCTAGATGTATATGCAATAACTTTTTTTTTCCAGAAATTGTTATCCACAATTTTAGTGCATTTATTTATTTGTTTTCCTCCCAACCTGATTTTGCCATGAAATGTGGGAGGGGTCAGAAGACATCTCTAGTGGCTTTCAAGCATTTTCCTTGTCTTATTCCTGCATACTCCCTGTTGGGAGCCGGTTTGCGAGGAACAGGCAGGACTTCTGGGGCAAAGAGCCTGGAAGAGGGGCTGTGATGAGCTGAATGGGATGCTGCTGCCCCACTGCGCTGGACAAGCCCTCACCTTCCCCTGGGCTCTGCCTGTCTCTGAGCAGCCCCGTGTCCATCCATCCCTTCCTCAAGCTGTATCCCCTCCGGCACTAAACCCCCAAGCTGCATTTGTAGTTCGTGGAGCTGCTGTGCTGGTCTTCTCCCCACACCTTGCAAAGGGCTTTGGACTAAAGACTGGTGTCAGACTAGCTGTCTGACTGTTTGAGAGAGCAGTGACTTCAGCTTGCCTTAAATTTTGTTTTTTGCTTAGAACCTCTTTAGATGAATCCCTGCCAGATATTTCAAAGAGAGAGGCAGTTGGGGTTTGCTGTCTTTCACTGTTATTTTCAGGGCTGGGAAATCTTAAAATTCGAATTCTCAGAGCTTCACATAAAGATGAAGTATCCAGTATTTTTCTGCAATTTTTCCATGCTTATGAAGAAATTTTTGGGGTAACTCACTATGTATTATGTTGAGGTAAAAAAAATCATTTTGTTCAGTATTCACCTTAGGGAATAGTTCCAGTAAAATGATCTCAGGGGAAGGGATTCACACAGTATTTGTGATTTTTCAGTGCCTAGCACTACCTGTTTTTTAGACTACTGTTACTCACAGGGGAAGGGGTAAGGTGCTGGCTCTTTGGAGACAGGCTGTGTTCCTAAACTGGTGGAAGCACAACAGGAAGAGTGTTGCAGTGTGTAAAGAGTTGCGGTTGGTGGAAAAGGGAAAGCTGTTACAATTTTGTCCTTCAGAGCCAAGAATATGGCATTGCCACAACTGTCTTCCTGTTATTTTGGGTTTATATATAAATGCATCTCTGAGGAGGTATGTGTGTGAGCTGATGCAGGCAGGACGCAGGAACAACCACAAAGCCACGGATTAAGGGCAAAGAACAATTTAATGTCAGTATCTCATGGATCCGGGAACCTCTGTAGCAGCACCCGGGCAGAGGCAGGCAAGCAGGGGATGCAGGCACTGCAGAGCGAGAGTCCTTATTAGCAAGAGAGTCCTCGTTAGCAAGGGAGTGAGGGAGCGAGGGAGCTCCCACTTGCTATTTGGGGCTGTATTTCAAGGATTCAGGCAGGCAGAGTTTTCTGCTGTGCTTTGATCTCTCCAACAGCAGGGCAGGAATCCCAGGCGTGTTTGATAAGGTGCCCCCGAGTCCATCCCAGGCCTATGTTATCTAAGTGCAGATGTTCTACTTGTTGAGCACACAAAACTAAGCAACAATTAGTGTGATAGATGTGTTTTCCAGCACCCCACATGCAAGTCATTGAGTGTATTTACAGTCCTCCTCGCCAATCTCCCGTTACTCTCCCACAGTGTGTATGGTGTGAATGTAAAGTAGATTCTGTAGCTTGCTGCTTTTTTTCTTCCAAATGACATCCTCTTTCTGCCATGTTGAGATCTGTGTTTGTAAATGCGTGTGCTGCTGGAGAACAGACTGGTTGTAACTATACACTTTGGGATTATTTTTGTCCCGTGGTATTCCATCAACACTTACTAACTGTCCTGATATATCTAACTGTGAAACCTGGCAAGCCTGACATCTCTGAATACCTGAAAACTTTAAACTTACTAGAACAGCTAATGTCTTGGATATACATAATCTACCTTGCTTTAGAAGTTCTGTGACATATTTTATTTCTGAAAGTTAAAGAAATAAACACAAGTGAGTTGTTCTTTTTTATATTTAATATTACTCAAATGAGGAAAATGTTTTTAGCTTTAAGCAAAAATACAGAATTGTCTAGAGAAAGAAGCTTTGCGCAGCAATGATTGATGCACTTTTATCATTACTAGCAGCTTCAAGATCTTTTAAGTTGTGCAGGTTGTGCAGATTTTCTTGAACTATGGCACCTGAGTGTGGTGATAATGAACTCATAATTCTTGGAGAAAGCAGCCAAGAGAGAAATTTTGTTGGATTCAAGTGAACTGTGTATGTCCATAAACTCACAGAGTGTCTCAAGTTGGAAGAGAGCCATTCAGCATCATCAGGTCCCACACCCTGCTCCTCACAAGGGCACCTAAAACTAAACCACATGACTGAGAGCATTGTGCAGAGGCTCCTTGCCCTCTGACAGGCTTGGGGCCTGGATCGCTCCCCTGGGGAGCCTGTTCCAGGGACCGACCACCCTCTGAGTGAAGAACCTTCTCCTTATGTCCAACCTGCACTTCCCCTGGCACAGCTGAGTTCCATTCCCCTGTGTCCTGTTGCTGGTCGCCAGAGAGATGAGATCAGCACCTTCTCTGCTGCTCCCCTTAAGGAAGGTGGACACAGCCATGAGAGCACCCCTCAGCCTTCTGAATGTGGGCTCTAGAAAGAAAGGTGGGAGAGAGAGACTTTCCTTTCAACAAATTATTCCTCTGACCAGAGGTTACTAAGCCTGGTGATGGTTACTGGATTACTTAGTGCTTGCTTTGGTTATGATCTGACTTTTAATGTTTAAAAAAAAGAGAAAAAAGAAAAGCAGAAAGGGTCTGTGTGGAGGTGGAAGTAGTTAGTAATGGAAAAGTTGAATGGAAAGACAGAGATGGAAAAACTACATTAGGCCCAATCAAACAAGACTCAAAAGATACCAGACATTATCCCTTATCTAGCAGATTCCTAACCCTTTTAGAGTTTGTGGTCAAAATCTGTATTCCAACTGAACAGGGATGAATCATGGATATTAATACAGGTGTACTTGGCTAATTCGGGTTTATAGCAGCATGCTGATTTATCTGTCTTAGAAATGATGCTTTTCTGATATGGCATGCCTCTAGTAACTAAGGAGCACTTTATAAAAATTAATCCAAAGTACTTGCTCTTTTTACTTATATCTATTAGTAACATTTGGTCATACTTGTCTCCTGTGGGTTCCAGTAAAAGCTCAAAAAAAGTTTGAAGTTTACTTCAGGTCCATCTTGTTTCATTTTGCATGAGCTGATGAGCTTTAGTGCACAAAGAGGTGAACTGCAGGGATGTGCCAGCTTCACAGTCTGTTCTGTGGCTCACCTGGTCAGAGCTGCCTCAGGAACCACTGGATTGTTGCACCCAGTCTCAGGTGTCGGACTTGCACCTTAAGCTGTCAGTTGTTATATTAACCCAGAAATGCTGGGTTAATATAAATACTTGAGAGAAAATGAATTTACTAAAAGGTGTTACAGAGTATTTGGTCCTTCACATGTTTTTCATCACTGTATTCTTTGACACAAATTTTTCTGCTCTTGAAAATAAGCGAAAAATATTGGTATTTATGCACACAAACTATTAAACAAGGGTCTTTATTTATTGTACGTGAGCTTCATGAGTTTGTTGTATCTAATAATATAGGTAAGAAAGATGGTCAATATTATGGTGTCACCTTTCAAATGTTCCTTGGATTCACAGAAGGAGATGCACATTCTCTCTCTCTTTCAGTGTGTGGCTTTGCAGTTGCTATGTAACGGGTGTAAAACTGGAATTTATTCAAATAATGCTAAGAAAGTGGAAGACAGTTACCAAAGATTTTTTCCATGTTCATGGGATTAAGCACTACAGAATGATTTCCAGAATTCAGTGTCATAGTGGATAATGTCATGGCATTGAATAAGGAAGTATCAAATTCAGCCAGTCCTCTTAAAATAAGGCTCTGTATTCATTCTGAAGTAAGTACATCCAACTCAGAGCACTTCATATTCATACTTTTGATGCCGAATGTGAAATCAGGGCATGAGGGTGATCTGGAATGGAATTTTACCTTTGTGTCAATAGATGTGAAATATATTTATTCTGGAGAGGTACGTGAGTGCCAATTATTAGTAGACATTGTAGGTGCGTCATATTTTTGTTTGCCTAACCTTGCATTACTGTTCTTTGTTCTACCTGCTTTCTACTCTGTGTAGAGCTCAGGTGGTGCCCTGACAAAATACAAACCAGCTGCTTTCTTACAACGTGGTCACCTGCAACTGGGACGACATGGTACCTGCTTTGCGTTTATATAGGTTCTGAGTGTACAAGATGATATAGCTGTTTGATTTTTTGGTTATTAGGAATGGCATTCACTGAACTTTGATGTTGGAACTGCTCTCTTCTAAAGTGACCTCCCTAGAAGAAGGGAGCCAAATAGGAACTACTTCTTGGTGCTTGAAGGACAGCTGAAGTAGTTTCTTTTTAAAAAGCAAACATAAAACGTACAATCTTCTGTAAAGGAATGGAACAGTTTAGTTGCAACAGGCAAGGAAACCTGTGTTTTGCTATTATGTGGTTAATGATAAAACACCGGTGTGTGCTGTGGATGCCTTCATCCAGAAGAATGCTTGTGCCTGCCACATCTCATGTATGGGTCTGAAAGTGGCGGTCTGGGAGAACTTGTTTTCAGCAGTCTTCACCCCAGTCTCCAACTCTCCCAAATTACTATAATGCAATTTAGGGTATAACTTCACAGTCGATTAAGGCAGAAGTAGTGTCATTTGGTCAAACAAGTAGCTAGGCGCATGGCCCTAACCGCGTGTTCCCATCTTTAGTTGTGTTAATCCTGGAGTCAGGTGGTGGTTTGGTGTGTGAGGTCACCTCACTCATCTGTCTGAGTGCTGCCCATTTTTTTCCACATACTAGTCCACAGTTGGATCATGAAGCTGATCTGGATGGCTATAAGCTGAGACTGTAACTTCCTTCTGAAACTGTAATGGGTAATGTACCCTCAGAGAACCTTCATCTGGCTCTTAGTAAAGTTTTGTGCCACTGTAAGAGGCTTGATACAGTTAATTCCCTTGGATCATAGCAAAATTAGATCTACTAATTGAGGTATTGTATTAACCTATGTAATGCTTAGCATTAAAGCTTTTCCTGTTCATCTGGGGTTTCTCTTGAGAGAAAAAGCCCCAAACATTCCTGAAAGGATTATGGGATGGATAAGATGTAATGTGTACTTGAGAATGCAAGACAGAGTGTCATGCCTTAGTTTGGCAGGCATTTCTCTTGGAGGAGTGCTAGTTAAAAGAGCCACTTTGCTCTATTTCCCCTTCTTACCACTCATCATGACACTGCTTTTTAAGTTGTGTCTTTCAGGTGAACACGGCTGGGAAGCTCATTTGTGTTAAAAGCCTCCCCACCCCTTTTCCTGTGCTACTGTTGAATGCTGAGCCATGCAAATGCCTCTACTGTCCTTGCTGGGGCAAGAAGTCTGTGGTTTTTGTACGTTAAGCCTGGAGTAGGACGTAAAGCATCTGTGGTCTTCTGGTTGGGTTGCTGGAAACCTGCTCCCTGGGACTGTGACTATGGAGACTACCTTCTTGAAGCAATGTTTAACCAAACACCATATATTTTAAAAGCATAGGAAAATAAATATAAGCATACGGATTTTGAAGACCTGTTCTTGTCACACGTAATTCCTCTGTTATGGTGTACAACTGCTGCAGTGGCAAACCACTCTAAGGGTAATCAAGATTTTACTCTCTGAGATAGATGGGAGATCCAAGATTGTTGACAAATTCTCTGATTCCTGTTGTGAGTAACTTGCAAGGTGAGTGAAATTCTGGAAGTGCTTGCTAGAATTTATTAACAATTTAAGTGCTCTACAATCCAAAAGCATCATGTTTATTACTTGGATAAATAACCTAGAGTCCTGTGAATTACACACTCTAAAGGTACTTTTAAATTACATGGGAATATTTTTGCCATTCCCATAGTAATTAGTTTCAACCCAGTCTTTCTGGTTACTGTTGGTGCTTAAAGATCTCTGTGCCAAAATTGCGACAGAGGTAGCACCTTGCTGGGTCCTTAAGTGAGGACAGGCGTTGGCGCTGAAGGAAGACAAATGACCAACACCTCGAAGCCCTTTCTGTTTGAGGGTTCAGCAGGTTGCCACAGGGTGTCCCCAGTGCACTCAGAATAGTCCGGTTTTTAACGGGGGATGTTTCGTGGTAGTGATGTCAATCTGAAATGACTCTGTTTCCTGAAATTCTGCAAAACCCAGATCACGGAAGTCTTCAGTGAACTGCTAGGGTACGGCTTCAAATGACAAACCATCCGGATCTTCGAAGGAGTATTTGGAGCTGGAGAAATTGAAAGACAGAGGCCCAAGAGCTTTGCAACAAGCCGCTGTGGTGTGCTGGTAAATGAACCTGCTGCTGAGGCTCAGCAGGCTTCCAGGCTCCTTTTGAGAGTCTGTAGAACCAGGTTTAAAATCAGATACACATACTTTACCAAAACCGGGGCAGAGCTGAAGGAAAACCTGACATTCTAAGATTAAATGCCTTTTAAAAAGATGGAGGAGTGAATGGTAAGGGTTCATTTTAAACGACCTTATAAAGATTTAACAACAAAAGTTTAAGATTTTGCCATCTCTCCCATGTGAAACTTGTATTACCTTCCTTACCAATTCTTCTGTTCGTTTGCCTGCAACTGAGAAATGAAATGTCACAGGAAATGACTGCCTGCTTTTCCTATTAGATGTGCAAGTTTTGGACCACTGAGAACAGTAACCGAGGCATTAAGCAGCATTGGAATAGGCTGCCCAGGGAAGTAGTTGAGGCACCATCCCTGGAGGTGTTCAAAAGACAGGTTGACGTGGTCCTCAAGAATATGGTTGAGTGGGGTTTTTTTTATTGCTTATTTCTTATTTATTTTTTTGTCAGAGTTAGGTTGATGTTTGGACTAGATGATCTTTAAGGTCCCTTTCAACCTAGACGATTCTATGATTGATGAGCTACCCACTGTAGGGGCTGAACTCCAGACAGCTGTTCCTCCAGCAGCTGGATGGACTAGAAGAATTAGGCAAAACAACTCAGGCGAGAATGGATTGGCACCTGGTTTTGTCAGCGCACGCGGGGAACTGGCTCCCTAGTCAGTGGATGATAAAATAATTACAAGGGCTTGGATTGCATGCGTGAGTTTGCATGCTAGACTCTTGTAGCCAAGAAATGGTGCGTGCCAATTAAGCTCCACACCCATGAAATAGATGGCAAAGTCCAAGTTTCAAAGAGGAAACCAGTTACTGGTGAAACTTGCAGACCAGGCAGGTGTTGCTTTTCTCCATTTCCAGCCCCGGCGGCTGTCCTGTGGTCTTATTGTGCAGCACAAGCCACAGTGGGGGTACAGGTGTGTGTGTGCCTGCGATCTGTCTGCTGTGCACAACGGCTGCAAACACAGCTCTGCGTTATCATCTCCAGGCTCTTCAGTTGTGTATCACATACAAGGAAAAAGATTTCTTCACTAGTAGTTTTACAAAGCCCTCCTAGCTTCTGAGTTTAAAGTACAGTCTGTTGCTGATGGGGCTCACCTGAAAGTACCCTGTGCAGCTTATTAATGTAACGTTGCAATGCAGGATCCGGAAAAGCCTGTTACCAAACATGAGCTGACTCGCAGGGTGACAGCTGCTCAGGATTCCTGTTTACAGTTTGTTGTTTCTGTAGCTCCTTTTATTATCTTTACCATTACTCTTTTACAACACTATCAGTATGGAGTCTAAAAGAACCCCATTCTTTCAGCTTGGCCAGAGAGGAGTGGGTGGAAAGACTTTCCTGTTCCGTTGCATTCTTGCAGCAAAATATTCCTGGTAAAAATGAGGAGTAAGAGATTAGTAAGGTTTTATGAATAAGAATTTAAACCAGCTTTCATATATGTATATATCAATACACAAACATAAGGAATGCAGCTGATGTCTGCAAATATCTGCTGAACAGGCATTTTGGTTTTTCCTCACTCCTGCTGCAGAGGAATGATAAGTCACTTATCCTTCTCCAGAACTAGGAGACATACTGACTTCCACTTTGAAGGTTATTACACTTAACTAATTTAGACAGTGTTGATGGCAGGGAGTATGCAGTATATGAACATGAACAGAAGTGCCAAGGGTCATACTGAATAACAGACTTGGTGGTTCTATTTAAACAAAAATGACACCTTCAAGTACTGTATAATTACACCTTGTAAGTACTGTGGTTTTGAACTGAGGTGCAGCATTTGCAATGGTCAGAAATTTTGAAGTTTTGAATTTTTAAGACTACTGAATTGAAGTAACTAACTGTTGATTTACCTGCTGAAATTTCAGGGGTTATTTCTTAGTGGTGTTGTGGTTAATAATTGAATAACTTGCTGTGGTAACTTTAATTCTCCAAAATAAAATGTTTGGTGGCTTCTAAAGTGTTCTGCCTAAGATGTTTTGCTTATCTTAGCTTGTAATACTGATATGATAGCCTGACATGATATAGAAACGTCTGTATCATTTATATAAAAGCAGGGCATCCTGCCTAAAATATGAAACTGCTATAATGGAAACTGGACTAGTATGAAGCCATCAAACAAAAAAATCTCCCCAGATTGTTTTTCACAATATGGACCTCCTCATTTTCTTAATTAAGTGAGGTCCTGAATTACATTATGATACTCGTAACAAAAATATGTGTTGACTTTCTGTTGTCTGCTGAGGAGGTCCTTCAGGGATAAGAAACTGCTCCTGCTAAAGGGTTGATTCTTCCTTATTACGTAGCTTCAGGCTCCTTTCCTAGTTTGGTATCCCCTTTGGTCACAAGCTTAGGACTGTGAAGAGAAAATGTTGCCAGGGCTAGTTGGCACAGGGATTCCTCAACAGCTCCATAGGTTGTTTCCTTCAAAAATCTTGGCTCTGTGGTTCTCTCATTTGCTTTACATTTCCATACCTGTCTAGAAGATGGCTTTTTGCTTTTTCTTGTTTGCTTTACAAATTATTTTGCCTTTGGGATTTATGTTTAATTACATATGAACTTTCATTTGCCAAATTCCTGCTGATTTTTAACATGTATAGTTTTCACTAGACCTGTAAGTATCCATTTTCCTTTTTAATGACCTTCCTTTCACCTGAACCTTGCTAGTAAGTCGAATATTAAGTTCACATCACTTACTAGCGTAATCATTAGTGATGTGAGTGGTAGCCCTTTTGTTTTCTCCGAGTTAGATATATTTCCTGTAAAACCTATGAGTAGATCTTAAAATTGTTGAATATATTGCACAGGAGGTTGTAGTTCTTTTTATGTTCTCAGCTGGAATATATTTTAAATTATCTAATGTCTTTAGGTCTGCCTTATAAGTTCTATATCATTCCTTTATTTGTTTTCCCTGTAATACTCCATTCGTGCAGGAAGATGTAGACGCTATGAAATAATCTTTGAATTTTCTGTGACTTTCCATCCCATAGATGAGTTTCAAGTGCTTTTAAATGATTAATATAAAAAATAATTAAGTATTTTGAGTAATACTCAAAAGTACTTAAACACCAACCTCTTGTTTCAGAACTGGGACCTATTAACATGTTGGAGGTAAGTTCAAGTGTTCTGCGTGTGTTCTAATTGCTGCATAGTTTAATGAGCTTTCCCTTCTGTGTGGCTCCGTATGGGATTTTCATGCTTCAATAAATTAATTTCCTCGCTGAATTCCAATAGATCTGAAAGAAAGGCAAATTGCTTGATTTTAATTAGCTAAAATCTGGGTCAAGTATAAACAATTTTTTAGAAATTTGTCTAGAAACAAAGGTGTTAATCTCAGAGTTCTGGTTCTTTCCCTGTATAGGAAAATCAAACAAAAAAAATGGCTTGCCTAGCTGCTAGCTCTTTGGTGGCTTCTTTAGGAAATACCATTTCACTATATGGGAGTGCTGACTTTGATGTCTTACTATGCTTGGTAGTAATATAAGTAAACTGGTGTTATACGGTATATATAATGATTAACCTGTGGTAGCTCCAGAATGCTTACCTGCTGACTTATTTTTGGCAGCAAGGGCTCAAAACTCTCCCACTACTCACTTGCAAATGCTGTTGAACTTGAAAAGTGTTTGACTTGCATGCTACCACTGCTTCAATAAACAAAATAAGATCATATCAAAAATATTCTTGAACTAGAGGATCTTTAAGATCCCTTCCAAATCTAACCATTCAACGATTCTATGATTTTAGAGACTTGTTTCATATTAGCTGCTTAGTTGTAGCCCTTGTTGTATGAAGAGCTTTAAGACATCTTAAAAATTCTTTTATCTACTCATTCAGTTATGTTTGGAGCTTTTCTAAGCCAAAATAAGAGGCAGTCCAAAGCATGTGGACTTTGCACAATTTTTTGGAAAAATTTTGGGTTTAGATAGTCCATAGCACCTGATAAGGAAAGCTATATCCCCCTAATTTCCTACTCCAAAAACTGTAATTTATACAAGTAGAATTACCAACTTTGCATAATAGATGTTCCAAGGAGGTATTAATAATGCTCATGCACTGTGGTCCTCTTCCTCCCTCTTCCTGCGGCTTGCAAAGAGGAACACTGTTGGAGTACCAAACAGTACAAACCCCATGCAAAATAAATGCTGGCTGGGTATGTAACAAGTACTCAAGAGTGAACACTTTGATAGTTGGAGAACGCATACCGTTGGGTTAGAGGAAGATATTTATCAAACTGAAGAAAATAAACTTCTTTTAGACAAGTTTTTCAATGCTTAGGGATTTTTTTTCATGAAAGGAAATGTGACTTAAGGAATTTGCACACCTAAATGAAACTTAGGGAGAAACAAGGTTCAGAAATCCAGTCCTGTAAAACTTTTCTGCTGATGCTTAGTCCTGGAAGAATACAAGCTGTGCTGTTACTCTGTTTTTTACTTCACTAACCCCCTGTATTTTTCAGCTTTTTACACCTGGAACTGACCCAGACTTAACTGACTAGCTAAATATGTTGGATATCCAGGAAAAAAAGCCAACCCAGAACCTTCCAACAATGAGGATATCTCCCCCACACTTCGCTGGTGTCTGCAAGGTTTGCCTGGGATGTGAACTGTATCACCATTTTAAAGGAAAATCCATAAGAGTGGGGTGGCATGGCAGGGCGCATGAAGCACCACCTGCAAGACTGGACCAGCGCTCAGAATAAAATGGACTGGGAGTGCACAAACACTTTGGAGATTTGCAGCGTGTGCTTAAAACCATGGCTTCCTCCTTGTAAATTATCCTGCTGCACGTTCATACCACGATGCCTAAGTACAGTGAGGCCGGCAGCTGCGGTGGAGGCAGCCTGGAAACAAGATGAGGAGCACTGTGACCTGCAAGTCGTGTGACCTCCTGTCATGTGCATGAGGGGAATTTCTCTTTTCCTGCCTCTAAATGGCTTCTAACATTTTTCGGTGAATCCTGTTCCATCAGGCATCCTTAGGGCACGCACAGATCACTTGGGGTTATTTTTAGAAAGCGCAAATAATGGCAGAGGCATGCTTTGAATTTTCCTACTATAGCAGCGGCAGAAACGCCAGCAGTTTCACATCACGTGGCTGCTTAAACAAGCCTACATCTATTCCAGTAACATTTTCCCACCCAAACATAGCATCCCAGCGCCCTGCGGAGACCATGTGCCAGCTGGAGCCTGGCTCACCCCGAGGGCTACGGGGTGGAAACTGAACCGTTCGGCGCCTCTGCCCGTCCTTTCATCCTCGTGATGTTGCCGGGAATGGGACAAGGAATTTCAGCCACCTCAAACTTCGGAGGGAGACATCTGCGATGGCGCGTCTGTGGAAGCAGTTGGGAGCATCAGAAAAGAGGGGGAAAAACCAAAAATAAAACCAAAAGCAAATAAATCATCCCACCCACCCCCTCTTTTGAAGAGGGGCTCGTCCGCCTCGGTTTTCCACGGGTCTGAGGGGTTTGTAAGAACAAAACAGATGGTCTAGGGGTAGGAAGGGGGCGGAGGGGGGGAGGCTCCAGGAGTGGGGCCTGCTCCTCACCACAAGGGACGGCGTCCAGACCGGGGCTGGACAGCTCT